GGAACACTTTAATAACAGTTATTGCTATTATTTCGTAAAGGGTATAAAAAACGTTGTATACTAGTTATACAATAATTTAATAAAGAATAAAACGCATTTCTTTCAGTGTGTATATGTATACTACTGGAAAAAATTAAAGGAAAAAAAATGTATTAGTTTTTTAGTGATCTTCGAAAGGCTGTATCTCAGTGAAAAATGGTCATATCGAGATAAACAAAAAATAATTTTGAAGCTTTGCATTGAGAAGCTTTGCGTCCCTAGTTTCAAGATCTTTAGACAAAATTTTTTTTTGAGTTACGGTTATCGAGCAGTCAAGAGAAATACCTCAAGAAAAAAATGTCCAATTTTTTTTTGTTTAGGGCTATGTATAGACTTAATAACTTTTTTCAAACTCAATCAATACATGGGTCAATTAGTTTATTAATTCAGCTGCAATTTGATTTTCCATAGGTCTCCGTGTGACTATTGCCGAGATATAGATGGTTGAATGAAAAATAACACTTCTCTCTTTAATCATCGATATCTCTGCATGAAATTATTGCACCGTAAATCCAAGGGCTGTTTTGAAAACTGGAACAAATTCTCTAGAACAACCTATAACGGTTTTCTAAGAAAACATGTTTTTTTTTCATCTTTGACAGCAATTTGAAAAAAGTGCAAAAAATTACTGTTTTACAGTTTTTTTAGAAAATCTACTGCTAATTTACAAATATTTATGGAAAGACTAAAGTTGAGAGAAATTTTTACAGGTCATTGTACCAATAATGGCCATATAAATTGTCAAATTGGTGCATCAAACCATTTTTCTGTTCCAAGTGATCAAAGTCCTGAAAATAATTAATAAAACACTTGCTCCTAAACATTACGTAATCATTATCAAAATGAAAAGGAAGAATTTTTCTCGACTTTTCCCACAATTTTGCATTAGATGTAGTTTAAATTTAAGAAAAATATGTTGAGACTAGAGACTTACAGCTTCAAAATGCTTTTTTGTTTTTTGAGTTTCGAAAATCATGAATTTTTTGTTCTTTTAATTTTTTCCAGTATTCTGAATGAATAGAAATTTTTAGAACTCGATAAAGTGAGCTAATTGTTCAAATAACATCTTTTCAAAATCATGAAAATAAGGGAAAGTCATCTGAAGTAATTCAAATACATGGAAATAATCTTGTCAAATTAGAATATCGTTATTGACTTTATTATATATTTATAAGTCGCATTTAATGTTTTCTAATCTTATAATTACATTTTTGACCCGTACAGATAAATGGAAATTTATGCTATTTTAATCTGACAAAAGTAGCATTGTCATAATTAACCATAAGTATTTAAATGTTAATATCGATAAATATGAGCAATTGAGTTTTATTTTGTGACTATAATTTAGGAATTGGATATTGATTTTATTTAACGTTTATCACAAAATAACACAAAAATGTTAGAATAACTGACATAAATACTTGTGGTATAGTATACGTTTACCTCATAGTATAGTATAGGCAATGCAAAACTGTCTTTGACATTGACTTAAAAAAACAATCACAGTAAATATTCCAATGTAATTGATTCATTAAAGTCGTACATGTTCAACCAAAAAATCATACCGTGACAGTCTAAACTTCAAGGTGCTTTAATTTTATCCAGACATTTCCAGCCTTTCTCAAGATTAATTCTGTTCTTGCATAAGTAAACGAGTTAGAAGTTTTTTTGTCCAATAAAATTTCATAATTCCTTAACATAGTTACGAGTGCAATTTTAGTTTGCAATATACCAAACCGTTTTCCTACAAAATAACCATTATTACACGTGGAAAAAATAATTAATTGCAATCTAATTTCGACACTTGATGGGCTTCTTGTATTTTCAGAAGAGATTCAGTATTCTGATTTCTCCTTTCAACTTTTTGGAAATATTCGAGAAACCTTCCAAAAATATCAAGGAATCGTCTTACCTACACAAATCCTTGGACCTTCCCCAAAAGGTACATGAGATATGAAAGGCCTTTTGGCATTATTTTCTTTAGAGAATCGTTCGGGAATAAACTTGTCCGGATTTGGATAGTATTCTGGATCACGCTGAATACCCATATTAGAGATGATGGCGTATGTGCCTTTTTCTATCGTAACATTAGTACCTGGCACCTTGTAATCTTTCGCACACTGCCTGGGTAATATGGGAAGAACGGGATAGAGTCTAAGCGTTTCTGAAACAAAGACAATAATTAATTTTAAATTAAATTAAACATGGCTAGTTTTATTTCCAAAAATATACACTAAATATAAACTACACGAAAGTGTCGAATCGAGTCTTTTTGAAGGATGGAGGATAAAAAAGTAAAATTTCAAGTCTTTACTTACAAACAAAGGCTACTCTTAACCCAATGTCATTTGATATTGATGACATGGACTAACTAACTCAAATATTTTTTTTGGAAAATTATATACCACCAGGTTCAGACGTGGGGCACCAATCAATCGACCGGCCAAGTTTCAACTGACACTGATGACATACAGACTTAACTACTCACCATCTACAATATTATCCAAATATTTCATCTCCATTACAGCGTCATATGTAACATTGTTGTCGTATTTGGTCAAAATTTTCTTGATTTCCGTTCGCAGCTTGCTTTGATACTCCGGATTTCTCGCAAGTTCGTACAAAGCAAAAGTCACAGTACTAGAAGACGTTTCGAATCCAGCACAAAAAAATGCCGTCAAATGCGAAACGAATTCTATATCGTTAATGGGATCTATAGGTTTATTTCCAGAAAAGTCGCGTTCATCATCGTGTTTTTCATTCAATCGTATAAAAATGTCGGTTAGATCACCTCGCTTTATTTCTTTTTCTTTTCTGTACTTCATGATATTCTGGAAGAGATTGGAGAAATATTTTTCGAATTCTCTCGTCATTATCCTGAAGTTAAGTTTGACTAAAATGTGTCGAGGTATTGTTATTACCAACAATACTTTGGAAATGTGGAATTGGTTATCGAAAAACGACCTTCCTTGTTTCAGCAGTTCTTCATTTTCCTTCTTCATTATATTAGTCTCAATTCCATGTGCACATGAAGCGATTATATCTGCGGTAAACCGACTTATTTCACTTTTTATCTCAAAGGGAGTGCCATTAGTAGCGTAAGCGTCCAAGTTTTCTTTAAATTGCTTGCTAAGTTTTTCCATTATCGCAAACATTTTCCTCATCTTTGCGGAAGTAAATGCTGCTGGGAGCTTGGCCCTAAGGTTCCTCCATTCACTGTTTTCCGCGTTGAAAATATGCGTTGATAAAGGGTCTTTCTCTTCACTTATATATAAACCGCGGTTGGGAAAATATTCAAAATCGGTAATCAGAATACGTTTAATGATTTCTGGATCAACTGGGATATAGATTGGTTTCCAGCAAACGAAAACGCCTGCATGTTTGAGCCCTCTCTCTTTGATTTCAAGGTAGAATTGAGCGAAAACTTCGCCTACAGTTAATTTTTTCGAGATCACTCTGAAAGCATTTCCGAGTGGTATCACGGGTTCAAGATACTCCAGACCTCGTTCTTTCCAATATGCGAATGATCTCTTGTAGAACCAAATGATATAGAGTAACAGAACCGTTAGTATGTACCATGTTGTAGCGTTAAAAACCTCCATTCTGTCCTGAAAAAAAAAACAAACGCATAAGATGTATTATACAAGTATACGATGGGTATACAAATAGGATTAATGAGAAATACGTAATTAAAGAAGGGTTATTGTCAAAGAAATTTACTCAAGTTGACCAGTTGAAATGCTTTGAGTGTGAATGACCTTATAGGTTATACCTCACCCATACAGTGTTATTGTTTTATTATTTGTGCAAACCTTTTAAACAGCTTCCCAAAACTGATTCTTGACACTTGTAACACTTCTCTAATTGAGTTGCACAGTTTACCTTGGATAGTATTTACAACAAAGGCATCATTCATCTCGCATATAGATTCTATANATTGGTTTCCAGCAAACGAAAACGCCTGCATGTTTGAGCCCTCTCTCTTTGATTTCAAGGTAGAATTGAGCGAAAACTTCGCCTACAGTTAATTTTTTCGAGATCACTCTGAAAGCATTTCCGAGTGGTATCACGGGTTCAAGATACTCCAGACCTCGTTCTTTCCAATATGCGAATGATCTCTTGTAGAACCAAATGATATAGAGTAACAGAACCGTTAGTATGTACCATGTTGTAGCGTTAAAAACCTCCATTCTGTCCTGAAAAAAAAAACAAACGCATAAGATGTATTATACAAGTATACGATGGGTATACAAATAGGATTAATGAGAAATACGTAATTAAAGAAGGGTTATTGTCAAAGAAATTTACTCAAGTTGACCAGTTGAAATGCTTTGAGTGTGAATGACCTTATAGGTTATACCTCACCCATACAGTGTTATTGTTTTATTATTTGTGCAAACCTTTTAAACAGCTTCCCAAAACTGATTCTTGACACTTGTAACACTTCTCTAATTGAGTTGCACAGTTTACCTTGGATAGTATTTACAACAAAGGCATCATTCATCTCGCATATAGATTCTATATCTAATCTTTACATTATTAATCGAACTCCCAAGTACTTTTTATCTGTCGTTAAAAATACTATTTAGTTTGTGCTCTTAGAATGCATATTTAAACCGGGTTTATTAAAAGGTCAATATAGATATTTTAAAATAGAGTAATGTTTGCACATCTGGAACCAATAGAAATGCAAAGGTTGCCTTGTATATTTCAGGAATGGACGAAGTCCTTATCGTGAGTTTTGACTTTCTGTCGGTATATTTACTCAGTATGTTTTGAAGTACAGGCACTATTTGTGTTGTTTACAGAGACTTGAAAAATTCATCTAGGCCAAAAAATGGATGAGTCAAATCTAACAAAAGTTGTTCGCGCACGAGGCAAGTAAACGGTCGCCAGATTTTGCGGATAAACCGGATCATGTGGTAACTGTACCACTAGTGCAACGTCAGATGATCAATTCTGAATGGTACATAACCATTTGTTTGCCAGAAGTCTTCGGAAAAATAAGGAAAATCAACCGCCGAAGACCAGGATACACACCGGCTCAAACAAGAGACTTTTTAAGAGCTGAAAAAGTCGAATTGATGACTCATCCGCCAGACAGCCTTGATTTGACACCCAATGACTTTTATTTATTCAACGATTTTCCAACGCCTGAGGCTGTTGAAGCGTTCAATTGCATGTTTTGAAGGTAGCTCAATCAGGATGGAAAAAGTGCTTGGAAAATTGGTTGAAGCGTATACAAGAGTATATGATCTGTTTGGAGAATATTTTGAAAAACAATAAAACCGTATACGATGATTATTTTCTTTTTTGTTCTGTATTCCCGAAAAATAAAAGGCAACCCTTATTAATTATTTACACCATAAAGGAGGTAAGTACTATTTACCAGTCGAGAACGATTTTGCGCCCGAGCGGAGCGAACGCTGGCAATGGAGTCCGAGACTCAAGATAAATGATACTTAACTGCTGCGTGGTGTATAACATTTTATCTGCTTCCACAGTTCTTTATGGTTCATGAAATAAAGATTAGTTTTTATTTTTTGACATTTCTTAATCAATTCATTTTGACATTATTCGAAATCTTGCAAACTAGCCGTGGTTGTTTGGATTTTGTCCTATTCCTAATAAGATTACACAGTTTTTGAAACTAGAACATCCTGAAACATATACAGGCCATTCATTCCGAAGAACATCGGCAACGTTACTGGCTAATACA